TCAGCTACCCAAACCACCCGGGACTGCTGTAGAGAACGTGCTGACAGTCTCAGGGGATTTTAATGGTTCTCACCTTTTCTTCCCCAACACACCCAAGAGATAGAACATTCCTACTTGGAGCAATGGCCATTCCAGTGATAGGTCAGTGTGTAGGGGTTATGTATGGCAGGGGCGAGCGTGCGGGGGGCTGGGTGGAGGGGCCTGGTGTGCCCTGGTGGTCTGGGCTCAAACCCAGCTGATGCTTACCAGCTTTACAACCTTGGGGGGCATGAGGATAAAGGGTACGTTTGTACACGCGCACGTGTGTATGGGGTGTGTGTGCTTGTAGCTAGTTGTATATGTGTGTACGAGTGTTTGGACGGGTGCAGGTATGTTTGCACATGTGTATGCACACGGGGGCACGTGTTTATAGATGCATGTGGGTCAGCATGTATGGGTGTGTGCACGCATGAGTGTAGAATGTATATATATGTGCATGTGCGTGTGTGTTTGTGTGTGTGTGTACACTGCCCAGCACCAGCGAACGGTGGCTCTGCTCGGCCTGCCCGGGCTGCTCAGCCAGAGCGGGTGTGCTGTGGGGTGGGGGCGTGCACGCAGCGGGGTGGGGTCTCTGACCGCCCTTCCGGCCCGGCCCTTCCCCACACGGGCCCTCCTGGCGTGTGGTATGACCAGGTCTTGTCGTGTCTCAGGGCCTGCAGGGCCAGAAGAAGAGGCCATTGTTAGAGGAAGAGGGACAGTCTGGGGGCAGGTAAGGTGGGGCTGCCTGGCAGGTGTCCCCGCTCCCCACTGGCCAAGTGTCCTCAGCCTCCGCGACACGGCCCCGGGGTGGGGGGGGTTTGTCTTCCCACAAGCCTGCAGCGTGCCTTCGGCCTGGCTCCTGAAGATGCAGCCTTCCTGCTGGGACTGGTCTATGCAGAACGTCCCTGGTGCCAGGAGCATGGCCACTGCTCCCCGGCCGCAGTGCGGGTTTGGAGCCCTGGATGCAGAACAGAGGCCTCGGTCTGGGTGAAACTCACATGACCAGGTGCTCGGCGACCCAGGGGCTGACCACCACTCTGATGCCTCCCGACGGACAAGGATGCGGAGGCTCAGAGCAGGTGGTAACGTGTCCAAGGTTGCACGGGCAGAGGACTGGGACCGGGGTCTCGTCTGCCTGACTGCGGAGTCCGTGCTCTGGGTCACGGAACAATAGTCTTCCCTTGCGTGCTGTGTGACTTGAGGTGGGCCACTTGGCCTCTCTGAGCTCGTTTCTCTCGTGGGGCCGAGAAAGTGTCCTAGCCTGCTAGGGCTGCCGTAATAAAGCCCACAGACGGGGCTGCTTAAACACCGGTGTTTACTCTCTCGGGGTTCTGGAGGCTGCTGAGGCCCGGGTGCCGACGGGGCGGGCTCCTGGTCGGGGCTCAGTGACCGCCTCCGTCACCCTGCTCCGTGAGGCCTCCGGTTTTCCTCAGCGCCCCAGGCCGCGTCGCATGCTTCTCCAAGGGTGGGAGCTGACCCCACCATGGCCCGAAAGCCACCTGCTCTCACGTCGTCCTCAGGTTATAACTTATTCACGACAGCAGGATGTGTGCTGGACTCTTAGGGCATCCCTCCGCTGACAAAACGACCCGGTAATTCATCGTTCTGTGGGGGTGGGGAAGGCATTTTACCAGCTACACTTCTGAGGGCCAGTGTCTCGGTCCAGCGCCCTCCTCCGGCTGTGTGCTTGGGCCGCAGGAGCGGTCTGGGCGGGAGAAGAAGGGGCAGGTCTCGTTTTGAGTTTCTCTCTGCCGGGGCCTCAGGGAGAAGAGCTCCCCCCCACCTTTCTAGGGGGGTCTTCCTGGCAGACAGCAGACCTTTCGTTCATGTGATGGGTCCACACTCACAGCCAGTGTGTGCGCTAATGTGGCGCCCAGACTCCTCTGGAGTGTTCGGGTTTTGGAGTGGGAAGGCACCTTCCTTTATTCTCCGGGCTCTGGCAAACCTGCCCCTGTCTTGTGGGAATTCAGGGGGGCGTCCTGTGTGTTGGAAATAATCCTCCCAGCTGGTCAGTGCAGGTGCGAGTCCCTGGGTGTCTCTGGGCCTCTGTCTTCCCATCTGAAGCTTGGGTTCGCTTGGACAGTCTGCACCGAGGCCTCCTGCTCGGGGCACTGTCTTCGCCAGAGCACCATATGGAGCGAGTGTTCACTCACTTGGTCTGAGCTTCCCCATGAGGATGGGATACAGAGGGTCCCAGCCGACCGCTGCTGACCGCTGAGTGAAAACAATAGGAAGACCTCAAGTTTTGGGGAGACATGAAAACTAGAAAAAGGCATAAACAATGAAGTCCTCTTGACATTTATCCTGCAGTTCTGCCCAACTTTTCCAGCACTCGTGACCCATTCCAGACCCCAGGAAGGGGGCACCCTCCAGAGTTAAGGGACAGAGGGCGCGTTGTGGAGCTGGGCTAAACCAGCTCTGCGTCTCTCCGGCACGCCGAATCAGAGCCACTGGGCGCACGGGGCAGAGCCATGTTCTAACCACTGGGTCTGTCTCAAGACGGCTGTGTGGAAGGGACCCCAGAGGCGTTCCAGACCGCAGCTTAGAGACAGCGGATGGGCTGGGTGGCGGCCGACCCCACTGGCCCCGGGCGCTGAGCACCCGCTCCTCCTTCAGCGTGAAGTAACGCCCCTCCATCACCCTCAGAGTGGCCGGTAGCGTTTCCTCCGCTACGGGGTGTTTTGGGCCTGTTTCCCTACAGGCCAACACTTAGCAGTGACGGCGGGGCCGTCTGGGGCAGGGCTACCGGCGGTGAGTGTGTGACGGGCTGTGCGCTGGGCTGGGGGCTTGATTGAAGCCGTTCTTGTTAGCTGTCCCTCTGGCTGTCCTGCTGGCTCACCAGGAGGGTTAAGGAGGCTGAGCCTGTTCTGGGGACCTGGTGGCAGGAAGAACAGGCGGGAGCGTGGAGCAGGTTCGCAGTGACTCAGGGTCCTCTGGCCGCGGAGCGGGGCGGGGCTGGCTCCTGCTGGTGAGGAAGGAGATGGGGGCAGGGGCGCAGATACCCAGTTTGCAGCGCTGCCCCCACGGACCCCTGGACCTACGTCGGTGCAGTCGGGGCTTTGCAGGGGCTGCCTCCCACGTGGGGCGCCACCTCCACACCCGCCATTCCTCGCTTGCTGCCGCTGACTCTGCCCCTCTGGGACGACCCCCCCCCAGGTCCCCATGACCATGTAGCCAGACCTGCGGGACACGGGCACAGCCGCTTCCTGCTCCTCTCCCCCGCCCTGCGTGCCCAGGCTCTCCCTGCCATCACCTGTTCCTAAAGCCCCCACCCCCCCCGACACCCCTCCTGTGCACTTGGCTCCAGCTCTCGTCTGTTCCCTGGCCGGGTGTCCTTGCCCCCTTCCAGCCCCTCTGCGTGTCAGCCGATGCGCATCAAGCATGAATCCTGTCTCGTCACTCTCTTCTAACTCCCCCGCTGGAGGTTTGTGTGCCCCCCCGGATGCCCTCCTCCACCCCCCACTGGCCAGGGCTTCCTCACAGCACCTCTCCTGTTACAACACACCTGTTACAGGTGTCTGATCGCTCCCCGTGCCCGCGCCGGTCTAAGTTCTGCCGCCCTGTGTCCCTGGCACACACACGGCTCGCCGCTGTCACGGCTGGGCCAGCCTGGCCTTGGCCTCCCCGGGGCCCCTGCTACCGTGGCACCAGGAAAGGGGCTCTGGGCCTCAGATCAGCAGGTCACAGCTCTGTCCTGGTCCTGCCATACACCGGGCACTTGACCTGGACCAGCGGCTCAGGTCCTCGGGGCCTTGAATGTGCAGGGAATCACTTCTGTAGCCCAGTAAGAGAGTGGACGTGAGGGTGCTTCGTGAATCAGTCTGTGGGACTGTGTTACGGCGCTGTGTGTCCATGTCAGCCCGAGCTGACTTTTGTCTTCTGTCCTCTGACCTCTATCCTTAATTCAGGGAATGTCGCAAAGCTGAGCCTTCCCGGCTGGGAAGTCCTCAGGTTCAAGGCGTGAGTCGGTGTCAGAGCAGGACAAAGTCTTAATCCGTATGCAGTCCACTGTCCTTCCTGTCATCTCTCTCCTGCAGAGTTGCTCGGCTGAATTTCATTTAGTTTCAGATTATTAAATTAAGTCTGATTGCATGTTTCCTTTACCAAGCGTTCTCTGTGTATTTGACGCTTGCTGGCTCGGTTTGCAGTCTGCGGCAAGCAAAGGAGGGATGCCAGGCATGTAAGTGCACTCTGGGGGAGAACAGCCCCTCTGCCGGCGTGATCTGTGCTGCGGCTGGGTGCGGACCGCCGTTCTGGGTCTTAGTGCATTGGTCAGCGGGGACGGTCCTGTGGGTCACGCGTGAGGACAGTCACCGGGCCGGCCTGCAGCGACGGGCAGCATGGAGGCGAGGGGGCAGCCCGGTGGTGACGCTCTGAGCCGCGCCGGAGGGACTGACGGGTGGTGTGTCACCAGGCCCTGCTGGAGAACTAGTCTTCCTAGGAAGCGTGTGATGAAGCATTCCCAGGACCCTACTCTCCCTCCTCCTCCTTCCCCTCCCCTCCAGCTTCCCAGGAGAGGAGCGGCGCTCTGGCACCGCGCCCACCTCCCCCGGCGGGCATCCCAGCTTCCCGGGAGAGGAGCCCACATGCCCGTTGACAGAGTGTGGCCTGCTTGACTTGGTCTAGGGCTGGGATGGAGGACAGACAGCCTCTCTCTACTGATGTAACTGCAGAGTAGGAGGGGCCTGGGCTGAGGGCGGGGCAAGGGACGTACCGGTGGTCTCCTCCGTTCTGCAGTGCGTGTGGTTTTTAGGGGAGGTGTGTTCTCCGCTGGGAAATCTATCAACAAGGGACCTGTGAAGAGCCTTCTGGGGTCAATCACATATGTGACCTGGGAGAGAGTAAAGATGAGTGTTACACCCTTCCTGTCTCCTCCGGTGTGTGTGCGAGCGTGTGCAAGCATGTGCGTGTGTGTGATGTTGAACAGGAGGTATACTGAATCACCTGTGCACCAACCAACTTTGATCTTGTTGTTTTTTCAGGAGACATGGGTGACAAAGGACAGAAGGGCAGTGTGGGTCGCCATGGAAAAATTGGTCCCATTGGTTCTAAAGGTATTTGTGACGTACGTCTTGCCCCATTTCCTCCCAGGCTCCTGGCGCGGGTGCTCGAGAATGATTGCAGATTGGCCAGTCCTGCCTGGTGGCTGTGCTTATTTCTGTGTGGTTGACACATGGTAAAAGTGGTCCCAGGGTCTGCATTTGGGATCAGTCAGAGTTACCTCCTCGCTGTGTGCCCACCAGGGTGGGGCAAGCGCTCCCCATACTGCAGGATTCACAGGGCACCCCAGTGGAGAACCGGGGACTGGTTACTTAGGCAAGACCTTCCACTTCCATAATCAGCTTAATGAAACACTGAGCCCCATTTGAGTAACGGGAGGACCGTTCTCTAGAAACACTGTCTGTCCCCCTCCAGCTTCGGTGACTTTTTGAAACTGTGGGTGGCTCTCCATAAGAACAGGACCCAGGAAGGTAACAGCCTGGGTGAGAGCAGCCCTCTAGTGACAAGACGCCTGCCCTTCCCTGGGTCCATCTCGGGAGCTCGTCTGACCGCGTAACCCTGCAGGGGTGGGCGGGCCAGGGACACTGCTGAGCCTGTGTAGCAGGGAGGGGGCTCGGGGTGGTGGTCTGCCCAAGGCTGGTGCTGGAGTTCTTCTGCCTCAGTAACCTGCCGGCGTGTTTGAGCCGTGAGCGGGTTTGGGTGGTTTGTTCTGATGGGTGGCCACGCACCTCCCCCTGGCCGCAGCTCATCCCTGGCAGGAAGGGGTCCTCGGCAGGAGCGTGATGGACACTGGCCAGCCCAGCATCTCTCCTGCAAACCCGTGGGAAGCACCTGCTGGGATGGCCCTCACTCGAGAGCACGTGCATATGCGTGGTATGAAGAGGGGCCACTGTGCTCCACAAAAGCTTTGAGAAAGTGTGGGAAAATAGTCATAACATGAAGCTTGCCATTTTAACTATTTTCAAGTGTACAAGTTAGTGGCATTAAGTACGTTTGCAGCATTGAGCAGCCAACTCATTTCCAAACCATTTTCATTCCCCCGAGAGGAAGTCTGTCCTGGTGAGGCGGGGTCTCCTGGTCCCTCCCTCAGCCGTGGTCACCCCTTGTCTAATTCCCGTCTCCACGAATCGGCGTATTCTAGGTCATTCACGGATGTCTGACTTATTTCACTTGGCGGCACGTGTTCCAGGCTCATCTCCTTCCTTCTTAAGGCTGAATCGTGGCTACACCACATTTTATTCATTCGCGCATCTGTTGGTAGAGATTTGGGTTGTTGCCCCTTTTAGCTGTTGTGGAGAGTACAATGCATGTTGGTCTCCAGGTAGGGACATGTGTGCCTCTCGTGTGCTCCGTGTGCTCTGGGCAAGTGTCAGTGGCTCACCGAGGGCCAGTGTGTCGGCAAGCCCCTAATTTGGTTACTTTGCCTGACCTGTTTCCGGGGAAACAAGCTTGCCTGACCAAGCCCCGAGGCTGATGAGGGAGTCACAGGGATGGTGTGGACGGAACCGGCAGGCTCTGTCCCTCCCCGCGCCGATGGCGGGCAGCGGAATCCAGAGGGAGGAGCGCTACTCCTTCCCCATCCCACGCCCCTGGCTGGGATGCTCAGGCTGACTCAGGGGGGAGAAAGATTGAGCGGCAGGAATATTCATGTGCGTTTAATAGATTTGTTGTCTAAACTTAGAGCGGCCAGAAAGCATTGTTGGCACGACTGTGTCCAACCCCTTTGGTTTACCAGCTGGGAGACCGGTGCAGCAGGGCGGCTGCGTGGTGTGTCCTGTCTACGGGGGGCCGCGTCTCAGGCCAGGCAGGAGCCCAGGTGTTGCGCTGGGGGGAGGCTGTCCCCAGGTCCACCCCAGTGCCAGCATCACCGTTTCCCTGCCGTCAGGAGGGCGAGAACTGGAGTCAGATTTAGCTGTTACTGACCCAGGGGGTTAAGGGTTCATGACAGGGTATCTACAGACTGTTCTATGACATATCTGGGATTTTTCAGACCCGACTTAAAGAAGGGTCGTCAGGTCATCTCTCAGATCTCGTGATAGGCGTCTATTCCACATCACATCGATAGAGCCCGAAGAGTTAATTATCTGTAGAACACAAGTCCCTGTGTTCACAGCAAAGAGGGGATCTGCAGGAAACCCTAGGACATTGCACAGGGAAGAAATAACATTGTGAGCCTTGGCGATTTTAACCTCTCCTGATGTGTCCCACCTCTGCTTGACCTTGCTTTGACCTTGCTCTCCCTTTTCAGGTGAAAAAGGAGATTCTGGTGACATAGGACCCCCTGGCCCTAATGGAGAACCAGGTATGGCATAGAGGGTGCAAGGGCTTTTAAAACGTGTTAAAAATTGCACTTTCTCCCGGTTTTATTGAGAGGTAATTGACGTACATGACTGGAAAGGTTTAAGGTATACAGCACAATGGTTTAATTTACAGATGCTGTGAAACGATCACCGCCATAGGTTCAGCTAACACCCATCTTCTCCTATAGACACAACAAAAAGAAAAGAAAGAAGAGAAAAGGAAAAAAAAAATTATCCTTGCAATGAGATCTCCAAGGACTTGCTCTCTTACCAGCTTCTCTGTGTGTCCTGCAGAGGGTTAGCTGCGGTCCTCAGGTTGTGCATCGCATCCCTGGTGGGCGTTTACCTCTGCACCTGCTGACCCCCTTCCTCCTGCTCCCTTCCCCTGCTACACATGGAAGTGAGATTGTGCGGAGTTTGCCCTTCTCTGCCTGACTCGCTTCACCTAGCAGTAATGCCTTCAGGGTCCATCCATGTTGCCACAAATGACAGGGTTTCCTGGGGCTCCTGCGTGGCTCAGTGCATTAAGTGTCTGCCTTTGGCTCAGGTCATGATCTCAGGGTCCTGGGATCGAGCCCCGTGTCGGGGTCCTTGATCGGCGGGGAGCCTGCTTCTCCCTCTGCCTGCCGCTCCCCCTGCTAGTGCTCTCTCTCTCTCTGGTTCTCTTGTGCCCTCTCTCTCAAATGAATAAATAAAATCTTAAAACAAATGACAGGTTTTCCTAATTGCTCACAGCTGAATAGTACTCCATTGTGTACAAATGTCACAACTCCTCAATCCATTCCTCCGTGATGGACACGTAGGTTGTCGGCTGGGTTTTGTTCCTCTCTGTAACAGTCTTGAAGTGCTTGCATTTCTTACGAAGCTTTTAACGTAGAAGAGCCGAGCGGGAGGCATCACACTCTGTGATTTCAAGTTATACCATAAATTGACAGGACTCGAACCAGTGCAACACTGGCATAAAGACAGTCCCACAGACGATGGGGGCAGAACCAAGAACCCGGAAATAAACCCAGGCACATACGGTCAACTAATATTTAATAAGGGAGCCAAGAACAGTCAATGGAGAAAAGACAACCTCTTCAATAAGTGGCGCTGGGAAAACAGGACAGTCACACAGAAAAGAATGAAATCGGACCCCCATCTGACACTGCTTACAAAAATTAACTAGAAATGGACCAAAGACTTAAAGGTAGGATGTAAGACCCATGAAACTCCTATAAGAAAACAGGAATGAAGCTCCCTGATGTGGGTCTCGGTCGTGCGTTTTTGGATATGACACCTAAAGCACAAACAATAGAAAGAAAAGTAAGCAGGTGGGACCACATCAAACTAAAAAAGCTTCTGCACAGCAGAGGAAACCACCAACAGAGTGAAAAAATATTGGCAAACCATTCATTTGATAAGGGATGGATCCCAAACCTGTAAGGAGCTCATACAACTCAATAGCAAAACAAACAACCTAATTAAAAAATGAGCAAAGTACCTGAATAGACATTTTTCTAAGGAAGACATATGAAAGGTCAACAGGTACACAAAAGGACACTCGACATCTCTAGTCATCAGGGAAATGCAAATCAAAACCACAATGAGATGTCACCTCACACCTGTCAGAAGGACCGTTACCAAAAGACAAGAGCTAACAGATGTTGGCGGGGATGCGGAGAAAGGGGAACCCTCCTACACTGTTGGTGGGAATGCAAGCTGGTGCAACCACTCTGGAAAACAGTATGGAGGCTCCTCCAACAGTTGAAAATAGAGCTACCCTACGATCCAGCGATCCCACTTCTGGGAATATATCCAAAGGAAACAAACACTAACTCAAAGAGATACCTGCACCCCCGTGTTCATAGCAGCACTATTTAGAATAATTAAGACATGGGGAAAATTGCACTTGAGAAAAAAGTGTAAATCATGAAATAAAACCACAGGGGTCTGGAAAACAGTGTGTACGGCTGGCATCTTCTTTCCTTGTGTGTCACACCCTCTTGTAGACTATGTCAATATTCCATTTCCTTCTACCTGAGTATTCTCACGTCCTTCTTGGGACTGTAGTGCTCGCCGACTTCAAGGATTGGCTCAGATATACGTGTTCCCAAGCACGCATTCCTCATTTCTGAGTACCTCCCCTTCCTCTGACCACCAGACTTCTCGGGAAGCACGTCTGCACTTTCTCGTTCTGGAGCTCCTTGTAGCTGGCTCCCTGCAGCCTGACGCCCGAGAAGGTCACCCGGGACCCAGCCGCTCAGTGGCGTGGCCAGCTCCCTGGTGCTGGTGACAGTGACCTCTCGGCCCACTGTCCCGCGGCCGTGACCCCCTGTCCGTGGAGCTCGTCTGCTGCCTTTCGTCCTCCACGTGGCTCCCCCACCTCCATGTCCGCCTCGGTGCCCCCGTAGTCTGGCTCCACCCGTCCCCTTGCCTGGCGCACGTCCATCATGTCCTGCTGCCCATGTTGGTCCAACCACCCCCTGGTTCATGTGGCCTTTCCCACGTGGGTGTTGTCCTCTGTCCCACGCTACCCACATTGTCCCACACTGTTCCACGCTGCCCTGCTGTCCTTCACGGTCCCGTGAGTCTGCACAGCTGTCCTGTGTCCTGTCCCTGCACCAGCACCTCGTTCAGGCTCTCGTGACCTGTCCGTGGGCTTGCCGTCAGGCCCTGGGGGCGTGGGTGGGGGGATCCTGGAGCTGAACGGGCTCCCCCGCGGTTGGGCCCTGACCGTCCCTTCAGACCGCCGTGTGCGTGGGCACGTTCCGGCATCCACTGTGCTGAATCAGCCCGTCTTTCTCTGTCTCACACATACTGCGTCTCCATTTGCTGACATTCATCCTGAGTGTGACATTCAGAGAGAAGCCCTCGAGAGAGCTCGGAGCTTGGAAACTGGGGAAGAAAGACATGTCTGAGTCAAAAGCCCTTGTCTGGAGGGCTCTGTCAGTACTGTGGAGAGGAGGGATGCGGTCACGGGACGGATGGCAGTGCCTCCCACCGTCACCTTGGGCACGGCCGGTCCTGCAGGGAGGAGGACCTGGTGGTGTGTGGGGCCGGCCGGGAGGCCAGGGGACAGTTTGAAAGGACACGGAGGAACAAGCCCACCACTTGTCACTGCAGAGAGCAATCCAGAAAGCCTGGACAGCCTCAGGGGGCGTGGACGCAACACTGGTCTCAGATGAACTCCACTGCAGCAGCGCTGTGAGAGGGACCCTCATGCTGCGGGGCCCCCCACTGTCCTCAGGTGTTCTGGCTTCTCTGCGGCCGCACGTCACTGCCCCGAGCCCCGTCGTCCTCCGAGATGCTGCCACGACTCCGCCCTCCACCCCGTCTCCCCTGCACCTCCCCTCTTCCTTCCCACCCACCCAGAGCCCTATTTGAAAGCGGGTCGGTCCTGGGGCTGCCCTGTTGACGTCCCTCCGCTGCTTCTCCTTCCCTTCGGGACGAAGCCCGGAATCCGTGTCCCAGCCTTGAAGGCCCGCGGGGTCCACTTGCCGGCTAAGCTTTCTGTCTGGGGGGGGGGCTGCTTTCTGGAGTGCCGTCCCGGGGGCATCTTCTGACGCGGGGGCCCCGTCTCCACAGGCATCCCGTGTGAGTGCAGCCAGCTGAGGAAGGCCATCGGTGAGATGGACAACCAGGTCACCCAGCTGACGACGGAGCTAAAATTCATAAAGAATGGTACGTTCTCAGGGTTTCCCTGGCCACCCCCCCCGCCCCCGAGACAGAGGGGCTCTGCCGGCGTGTGGCGCCCGCTGTCGGGGGCCTCGCGTGGGTGCCGCGCCCCGAGCGTGATTACAGAAACGCGAGGGCTCGCTTCCCAGCACTGCCCCCCCCCCCCGCAGCTGTCGCCGGCGTGCGCGAGACGGACAGTAAGATCTACCTGCTGGTGAAGGAGGAGAAGAGGTACGTGGACGCGCAGCTGTCTTGCCAGGGCCGCGGGGGCACGCTGGGCATGCCCAAGGACGAGGCCGCCAACGGCCTGATGGCCGCCTACATCGCGCAGGCCGGCCTGGCCCGCGTCTTCATCGGCATCAATGACCTGGAGAGGGAGGGCACGTTCGTGTACTCGGACCGCTCCCCCATGCAGACCTTCAACAAGTGGCGCAGCGGCGAGCCCAACAACGCCTATGACGAGGAGGACTGCGTGGAGATGGTGGCCTCGGGCGGCTGGAACGACGTGGCCTGCCACGTCACCATGCACTTCCTGTGCGAGTTCGACAAGGAGCACGTGTGAGCGGGCGGCCTCCGGGGTGACCGGCCCGCCGTGCCCCGGGCCGTCCCTGCCGCCCGTGTCGGCCGCGTTCCTGGGCCGCGGACAGCGGCGGCGGGCGCTCGGGAGGAGAGACAGCGTTTCCGGGCGTGACTGCTGAGGAAGCCAAGTTTTACCAGTTGTGCGGTAGCCACATGCTCATTAGGGAATTCTTAGTCAGAGTCTCGCTTGCCTTTGTCCAAACTATAGAATAAAAGCTTGAAATGTGACCGTAGTCGAGTACAAACAATGGTAGCGGGGGCTTCAGTGACTATCTCCCTTTTAATTTCTGCGTGAGAAGAACCCACGTCACTTTGGCCAATGCTTCAGTAAATTACATTAAAATGCATGTTCCCTTTCACTGTTGTGTAAGTAGAGGCATTGTGCTTGGGGCAGGCGCAGATTGCCGGAGTGTCTTGTGACAACAACCTTAAGGATCTCTCGGTTCCCGTGGATCTGGACTTTCTTTGGGGTTCAGCCGGACCCCCTTCTGCACTAGTGACCACCAGTGGTGGTTGTGGGCGGGGTCCGGCTCCGTGCCACAGGGGCCTCTCCACGGGGCAGCTCACGACACGGCGGCTGTGTCGGAGCCGAGAGCCACACCTGACCTGGGAAGTGGGGCACCGTCCCGTCACAAAGGCGTTCTGTTCACGAGGGGTGACCCACCGGGTCCCGCGCACACCCAGGGAGGGGACGACGCGACAGGCTGTGGACACCGGGAGGCAAGTCTGGAAGCTGCCGCCATATCCCCTGTGGTTCTTTTCCTTTCTGTGCATCAGATTCCCCAGTACAAACACCAAACTTCTTCTTGTTCCAGGGAATACAGCACATAGGCACATGCAAAAGCAATCCAGCTGGGGTTGTGGGGGCAGGAAGGGAGCTGTTGGGGGCAGTTCTTCAGGGGCTGCTCATGTTGTTCATGTCTCGTGGGTGAGGCCCTGGATGCTCGAGGTTCTGGGCCATGTTTTTAAGGATGTTGTGTAGCTGATGGCCGTGGACGACAATAGTGTCTCTCCCCAGGTTACCCCTCTGAACAAAGGGACAGGTCTGCTCAGAGCCTCCGAGAGCAATGGGCAGGCACGGTCACCGTCTGGCAGGGGAAGGTGATGACGCCTTCCAGGGGGAGAGGCAGCACGCTTCCCGCCTACTGCCTACTCCAGAGGGCTTGGGTTCCTTAAGTTCGAGGGTCTTATCCTGGAACCCACGTGCTGCACACACGCAGGTGTTCCCTGGTCCTCTTCACGTGCCCTGTGGGGACTGGAGCTCAGGTTGGGCAGGATGCCCTGCCAGAGCCCCACTGCCCCCCATGGGGGCAGGAATCTGTGGGGCGGCCCGGCACTCCCCAAGCACGGCCCAGGGGTCCGCCCCTCACCACACAGATGCCTCCCTTGCGCCCAGGGGCAGATCTGGTCTGTGGGGGCTCGTGGCTGCGGTTGGGCAGCGCCCGGCAGGAAGGGCCCGGAGCCGAGCGTGCGCAGTCTCACGGCCATGGCCTCTGCCCCTGCGAAGTCTTCCCAGCACCCCGCACAGAGCCCCTGCTCCTTCAGTCTGAGGTGGGACGGGCATGCACCTGCCTTCCCGTGGGCTCTTCCGGCTCGTGTGCAGCCCGGGGGAGCCTGGCCCCCTCGGGGCCTCCCTTCCCTCACTTGGCCGCGAAGGGGGCGGAGGGCAACACCTCTGTGCTCTCATGTGGCCTCCAACTCTGGAGACGTTGCGGGGAGCTCAGCCGGTCCGGCCCCTCCTGTCGCCTCCTGCACTCAGCTGTCCTCTGAGGAGACACACCGGCCTTTGTGCTCACGCTCTTCTCCAGGGCCAGAATCCTCTCAAAGCCAATCTGATAGGATATCGACAACTGGGCACAAAGGCCGACCATTGCCCCTAATTTAATCCCCGACTTCTCGAGAAGGGGCCTGTTGTGCAGACGGCAGAGTCTGATCCGCAAAGTAGGGGGGAGGCGGCCCGGTTGAGGAGAGAGCCCAGACTCATGGGGTGCCGCACTGAGGCGCGACCAAGGAGCTGGTGCACTTGTTTTCTTCAGAGCCCTCGGCGAAGCGTGGGCGGAGACGGATGAGCTGGGCCCAGCCTGGGGCTGCCGGCTGTCGGGGGCGCGGATGCGCGGGTCCACACTGCCATCCAGCGGCGGCAGGAGGACCCGTGTCTGCAGCAAGGAACGTGGGGAGTCGGCTCGACACAGATGCTGGGGGGAGTTCTTTAGGATGGTGTGTGTGCGTGCGTGTGCATGCATGTGTGTGTGCACGGGTGCATGCGTGTGTGTCTGGGGGGGGGGAGGGGAAGGGGGAGCAGTCAGAGGCAGAGGGGGAGAGATGCTGCCGAACAAAGGGCAGGCAGGCAGGCAGGGAGGGAAAGAAGGAGGGGCTCTGGCCCCCAGACCCAGGGGCTCCATGCCCTTCAGAAAACCCTCCGCCATGTGATTCCTCCTCCTCAGCCGGAGCGCGTCCCTAGGGCGGTGGTGGCCGTCTAGAGCGGACAAACAAAAGGCCAGTCAGGGGAAGGATTGGTGGTTCTGAGTGTCAGAGGAAGAGAAGCTCTAGGAAGGGGAAGGGATCAATCTCTGGTCTCAGCGTCCCTGCACAAAGCTCGGTCCAGGCCGGGGACAGGGAAGAAGACACGGGGGTGTTTCTGCGGGGCAGGCTTGGGCCCCTGACAGGTGTCGTGAGACTGTCCATCGTTCTTCTCCCCGGGGCAGCGTTGTGTCCTGTTCTGCCTCACTCAGACTTGAGCAGGCTCTTGCTGTCTGCCTATGCCTGCCGGCTACCCCTGGGGACGATTTGGACAGTGTGCCCACCTTGCTTCCAGAAAATCCGAGCCTGGCTAATTTAAGCAGAAAGGGGATTCGTTGAAAGGTATTTGGGAGTTCATGGGAATTTTGGAAAGACTGGAGAGCCATCGGGGGCCATGTGGAAGGGAACAGAACCCATAAATCATGCTGCAGATGGGCCCGCTGGGTCCCTCTGCTCCTGGCAGCTGCTACGGCTCTTGCCATACAAGTTGGCTGTAGTCACTGTGTTGGTTCCTCACTGGCTCACCTCCAGAGTCTGGAGGGGCTGCTCTGTTAGGGTACGTAGTGCTCTGGGGCCATTTTGTGCATCTGCACAGGTTGTGCACTGCACAAATCCAGAAGCACCATTTTACAGAACTACCACACATGGCGGTGGTGTGTGTCTGTGCCCGAGCTATGAAGGAGGCTGGGAGAGCACACAGTTGTCAGTGTCTCTGGTGGGAGGAATACGGCTTTCCAAGGATGAGCATATACCAAACATACTGTATCAGTTAGTTTTTGCTGTGTACCCATTAACCGTGATTCTAGGGGTCAGCGATTCGGGCTGGGACCAGCTGCGTGGTTCTTCTGGTCACGGCTGGGCTCATGTGTCTCCCGGCACGTGCCGGAGCGGCTGAGGTGGCCGGCCTGGGGCGCCTCGGCTGGCAGGCTGGGATTCTCATCTTCAAGTGACTAGCCCGAGTGTGTTCACAAGGTGGCAGTTCCAAAAGGAAGAGTGAGGGCACACACGGGGGCACACACGGGCTCCTGAGGCTGCGCACTGAGCAGGGACAGCATGGCTCTGTCCCCGCCTATGGCGGGCACACACGGGGGCACACACGGGCTCCTGAGGCTGCGCATTGAGCAGGGACAGCATGGCTCTGTCCCCGCCTGTGGCTAAGTAAGTGCTAAGGTGAGTCCAGATTCAAGGGCCACGCGTGGTGTGAGAAGCAAAGGGATGTGGAGGGTTGTGGCCACGTTTGCAACCTGCCACCCACGGGAAAAGGGCAGATGTGGCCAAAAATGAGTACAGAGGTCCATCCTGACAGGACGGCGGGAGCAGGAAGGACATTGCAGGTGGCCCGCACGGGGTGTGGCAAGTGTAAACAGGAAGGAGGAGACCCGAGGGGACCAGCAAGCTGCAGGGCTGCATCTGTTCCTTTATCTCTGTCCCTGAAGGGGCAGCAGGCCCCGTGAGCGGGGGTGGGGCCCACCGCTCAAAAATCTCATCAAGGCCTGGGAGGAGGTTGGGGCACAAGGTGGGTCGCAAAGGCCGATGTTTCTAGCATTGCCCCTGGGCTCACATACCACAGGCTGCTCCTGGCGATGCTGTCCTGGCGACCCTGGCAGGCCATGCTGTGGGTGCTGAGCCCAGCCCCGGTGACCCCGAGGGCCAGCCCACCTGCTTTCATCCACTGACACCCACTGCACGGAGGCAGCACCCCGAAGCGGGGCGAGCCCGTGTCTCCAGTCTCGCTGCCGCTGGGCCACCTTCATCCCCAACCTTCCTTGCCCTCATCATTCCCCATCGGGCTCCCTCGCCGGGATCAGCCATCCACTGCTGTGTAACAAACGACCCTACAAGTCAGCAGCCCAGATGTTCTCCCGCATAGCTTCTGTGGCTCGTGGCAACGTGGGAGCAGCTGAGCTAGCTGGGGGGTTCTGGCCCCGGGCTCTTCTGGGGCTGCAGTCAAGGTGCCCGCGGCGGGCTCTCAACTCCAGCCTCCGGGTGAAGGGTCTGCTGTCGCCCCTCCCACGGCCCTGACAGGCTCCTCTCTGGCTTGAGGCGCCGGGACCATCACTCTGCTTGCTCTCCTTTTCCTCCTCCCTCCACAGAGCCGCCTAGAAGCACGTGCACAATGGTGGAAGGGCTCTGTGTCCATGCCGCCGCATGTGGCATTGAGCACATGAAATTTAATGAGACAGAGGACGTAAATTTTAAATTTCAGTTAACTTTTATTAAATTAATTTAAATTTTATTTTCATTTATTATTATTTTTTTATTTATTTGAGAGAGAAAGAGAGAGAGAGTACAAGAGAGAGCACAAGCAGGGGGATCGGCAGAGGGAGAGAGAGAGAGAAGCAGATTCCTCGCTGAGCAGGGAGTCTGACACGGGGCTCGAACCCAAGACTTCGAGATCGTGACCTGAGCTGAAGGCAGACACTTTACTGACTGGGCCACTCAGGCGTCCCTTAACTTAAACTTTAGATATGATTTTAAGTAGCTCGTGGC